GAACACTGGGGAAAAATGAAGGTTTTTGTTGAAAAACCTTTATCTCGATCCGTAAGGATTTTGTACATCTTTGCGAAAGCTGAGTGCATGTCTCCAATAAAGAAGAAAATTTTCTGGAAATTCTATCGACACCCGGTGAGTGAAAAAAAGTGGCTCTCAACTTTACTGAGCAGGACTTTTTGGAAAACGCTTAGCGTAAAAGGCATGATTTTTTTTTCGGAACCAAGAGTCAGAAAATAAAAAACCTTTTTCCAAAGCGATAGAGGACAAATTCTAGTTTCATTATCTACATTAATTTATTATGCAACTCATTCCACTTTCAACAAGTCTTGTTTTTCCCTCAGGGTGATAAAAATTGACCGTTTGGCGGATAAGTTTTTTCAATCAATTTAACAAATAGAACAAAAATTTTTCTTATAAAGAATACGTTTTTATCAAAGTTTATAAGTTATTATTCGAATATCGAAAACCCTCCTTTTGATGTTTCAGCTAATGTTCAATGTGTAACATTATAAAATCGAATGTATATTTCTAGCTATATAGTCGAACAGTTAAAAGGTCGTAAAATTGTTGTTCAGCGCCTTTATTTTTAACGGCTTAACAACTTACTTCCATTTCTGTACGTAAATGCGATCAGCAATGGTCTTAATCGTTTCGTAGAACGTATTCGGCACGACCGGCGAAGTTTTTTTTCAGCTTTTATTAATTCACGTTTTAGAGTATTTGATAACGAAGGTGAATTGTTACCATCTGCAGCAAGCACAACCCAATCTTGTGGCAATAGTCTTCGGATCGTTTTATTCATCTACAAAAACAAAAGAAAAGTATTCAACCGAAATAAAACAATTTAGAATGAATAAGCATCCGTTCGTGTTCACAACATATATAGAACGATAACCTCTCTATGAAAGACAGTGATTCCTTTGTTTTCTTTGTTTAGACCTTGTGCACACTAGAGAATATAGAACTGAATTAAACCAATGGGATCGTCAGAAAAGTTAAAACAGAGTTAAGTCATCTATTTGAGATGATTTAACATTAATGTGCCAATGATATGTGATACCGTTTCGCTAAGAAAAAAACACACTTGTGACGCCTCATATATGTTCATTGTTTTCCTTGGGGCATGCGTATATATATATGAGGAAGGAAAAATTGAAATTTCAGTTTTTCATTTAGGAATGTTTCAAATTGTTCCATGAGAAAAAATAAAATTTCAATCTGCCTTAGGAAAATGTACAAGTTTTCTCCATTTCAATTTCTGCTGCAGTATGTGCTTAAAAAAATGAAATTTGATCTCAACGACAAGGTCAATATCATTAAAACAACAGTTCATGTAAAGTTCGGGGAGGTTGTCATGAAATTGAATAGCATATTCTACAAACAGTTCGCAATAAACTGCCTTGTAATATATCAACAATAGATGATATTTATGTTAGAAAACCACTGACTCGTTTTTTTCCTAGCAGAACTCCTTTTAAGCATTTTTGTTTTATTTTCGTTGTTAGTAATATCACTGTTTTGTTTTGCTACAAAAATTGTTATAGAAATCGCTGGTTTTCGCACTTCAATAAATTATTGATGAAATTCTTCTCTATTCTAAATCATTTCTTTTGGTTGCAAATATGTTTTACAGAAGATGGTGAAACTACTGTTATTAAGACTCTGTCCGGCTTTCATTAAGAAGAGCAGATTAACTGTTTATAAAAATTGGTTCAATAGATTTCACAATTGTAAAATATGTGTTTAATAGTACGTTGGTAAAAATTATACACGTACGGTAGAGGCACCTCTTATTACATTAATATTTTGTATTATGCTCTTTACCTACATTAATTGTTTAGTGTGAACGCGTGATGACTTAAAACAAAATTAATATAAGTCACTTTTTTTAGTGTGGTTGGGCCCTAAGTCTGCTTTCCTCTTTCTATTCTTTCTCCTTCTTCGCCTGTTGGTAAAACAATAGTGAATGATCCAACCAAAAATCACTTAGAAAAATCAAATTGATAACGATTAACTTCTCTAATAATTGTCAGAAAGGTGTTTATGTATGAAGAAAATTTATTCTTTAAAATCATGAAAATGTCTCATTTTTTTAAAATCGATTCAAATATAAAAAATAAAATTAATTGTCAATTCGCTGAGTAGAAAATGACCTTTATTTGAGAAGACAATTACATAATCGATTTCTTTTATAATAACAAAAAAAAAAGTTGATTTTCGAATAAACTAACCTATTGATTATTGACGAGAAAGAAATTAGATCATTAATAATGAGATCCATGGTTTGATCGAAAGACAGTGTAGATTGATGATTATTATTAGAAATAAAATATTGTTTTTGATTAATTAATGATGACAAATCGAACAAAACATACTGTTCTTGACAATTTTCAAAGACCAATTTTCACTTATTTCAGAAATTGATGTTCGATGACTTAAATATAAATTACACATATATTCACTCAAACTCTATAATCAAATAAAATAATCAAATATTAAAAAAAAATTTTTTGCATACAGTAATTGTTGATGTTGATATGTGTATAAATATTATCGGTCATTTAGTTTGATTGTTTTCAGCTACAGTTACTTAATAAGTTCTTCTGTTGTTAATCATTCATTTTTCACAGTATTTTCTAAACCCATACATTACCGTCAATTCTATCCACATTTATCATTTTGTGTCAATGATAAAACCTTAAATAATAACCATATTTAAAAAGAAATTGTAAGATTAAAAAAAAAACTCGAGTAAGTATACAAACATGTACTTGTGCTGGTCGACCACTAAATTTACTATTTGATGGTTGAATTAAGTTTATATTTATTTGACATGTTTCACTATTATCGATAAATATTAATTGAGCTTTTTCATTTTCTAAAATAAAAACAAATACTAAAAAATAATTAAATTAAATGAAACTTACCAAGAAGTCGAATAGTTCTTGCTCGATACCAATTTCAAGTGTATGAGTGTGGGTGTGGATGTGTCCACAACAAACACCCACACCCACACCCTTCTACTTTCATATTCATGTTAAACAACAGATAAGCATAATAAAATATTGGTGGTGCATTAACTGAGATTATCTATTGTATTGTTTCTTTTGTCCACAAAAAAAGAAAATTTTCTATCTATTCTCGAACACGTAGTTATCATGATAAAACTTAAAATTATTTGTTGACAAATATAAAAGAATATTGACTAGCTGTATTATACAAAAGTGTAGCCTTTCTCTGTAGAAAAATCATTTAAAGTATCACATCAGTGGTATATTGCTTGAGAGATCTGCCTCTGAAATATTAATCTATAAATTTGCTATGATAGTTTTCTTGCATAAATATTAACATGCTAGAAGAATATGAAGCAGACATTCGGATCCAATTTTGAAGATCGGCTGTTTCGTAGTATGATAAATCATGTGCTTGCCGTCTCTGAAACTTCCAAAGAGGTGCTCAGAATAGAGTCCTCTAAACGATTAGGCCAAGGCTAGAAAGAAAGACAAAAGTTATTGATCGTTGCTTTCTGTAGGCTTGTGCAGATTTTGACATGCATGATATAGATATTAACTTCACTCCCACTCTGATAAATTTTCTACATCGAAAGGTATTGTTAACAGCAACACTAGAAACAGTTGTTTTTGTAATAACATCGACAACATGGAGGCAACGTTACGACACGTTTTATTTCATTATCGCTTTGCCACATTCTTGAGTTCTGGTCGACTCTTTTAAGCTGGACAAAAAAAATAACCGACAGTCAACAAACTACGACACTCTTCGAGTGTGGGGTGTGGATGTGACTATGGGTGTAGTGGGTGTGGGATGTGAG